GGGCCCATGGGGGAGGAGACAGGCGTCCCGCCGCTCGCTGATTGGCCAAAGAGCCACAGCTCTACTGCACAGCTTCTTTGCTTGGAGAGGCGGGCTCTGCCTCAGAAGTCTATGCTGTGATTGGCTGAAAGGCCAATGACTGACAGCAGACTGCCGTTTGAGTCCGGAGAAGACGCGTTTGGCCTCGCTGGTACTTCGTGCTGATTGGCTCAAGACTGATAGATCATGGGCAATTGACAAGACTCATGGGAGCCAGCCTCACGTTGATTGGCCTAAAGGGGATAGATGGCAGACAACCTAAAGTGGGTGGGTCTGATATTCAGCTGATTGGCGGATGAGACTCCTAGACAGCTGCCAAAACACCCGAACAGGCGGCGCTGCACGCCACGCCGCTCAGCGGAAGCAGGACTTATATAGAAAAGGGCGTAGAAGCCAGCAAAGAGAGAGTTGGGTCTGGCTCTGCGTAGGCGGGCAGGGTAACTCTGCAGCGATTGGCTAGAAAAGTCGTATTTAGAACGCAGCAGAGGTAGGAAGGCGGGATAGCTGCCAGACATGCAAAGGATCGTTGAGTGGCAGAAATCAAACGGCTACTAGGAGGGCAGGCTCCAGTCATGTCCAGATTTATAAGAGGGTGGAACCTGGCTCTTGGTTGATTGGGGGGTTAGCTGGACCTAACCTAGATTAGGGGCTGGACTAGGGAGGGTGGGATCTGTGCCTATTGGTGGAGCTGGATCCATTTAGAAGCAGGGGTGAGGCCAAGGTTGAGCTAAGAAGGGCACAGGGTGTTATTTAGGGTACTGGAGGAACTGCTGGGGTACAGGAGAGGGATAAACCTTAGGACAAAGAGGAAGAGGCTGAATAGGCCCATTCTCTATGGCAATTCAAAGGGTGGTGTCCTGGAAAAGGAATGAAGGGTGAGGGGAGGGTCCAGGTTACCAAGCTGAGAAAGGAGGGAAGAGCATAGAATCAAGTGGCAAATACTACAGTAGGACTTTCAGGGTGCTTTAGAGGTTTCACACTGAGACTGGACCACTGGGTCTCCCAGTAACTTAGTGCTCTACACAAAGGTCACCTTGGCAACCAGCAGGGGTTAAGGGAAAAAGAAGGGCCATGTGACTCAAAGGCATTCAGGCTCTTTAATGTTGGAGGATGGAGAGAAGTAGTCACTGGCGAGGAGTCTCTGGGAAATTCTGCAGGCCTTGTAGTTCTCTAAGTCCCTGCAAAAGAGGACAGAAGAGACTGAACAGGGGCTGAGTTCAGGTCCCACCCCAACTTTGCTCTGACTTCCCCTCCCTTGGCTCCAGTTTAGAGGGAAAGATGCTCCTTGCCTTCTTTAGGTCACCACTCAAAATAAATCTGGGGATAGTCTGGGAGTGGAGTGAGCTGCTCTCACCTCTAGCAACATGTGGATATGGGCCTTGATATTCATGGAGTCCTTGGTGAGGCTGTTGCTGAGCCTGGAGAAAACAAACAAGAAAGGGCAAATTGGGCCCCACTTATCATTATGAGGATAAACATTCCTCATTGTATCAAGAACTATCTACATCCTGGTTAACTTTTGCTCCACCTGCTCCTATGGAGATTTGGTTGGCTGTGTCTGGACTTCACTGTTTCAAAGACTACTTAATACCTACTGCATGCCAAACAGTTTTAAGCACTGGGGAGATGATGCAAACACAATGAACAAAAATCCTGGGCTCAGGGAGCTCAAATTCTTGCTAAGAAGGGATAGACAATAAATGATAGAAAAAAACTTAAACAATGAGGGAGGGGGATGATAAGAAATAGGGGATGGGGCCTGCAATTTTAAACATCCCAGAATACTCAGGGATGGCTTCACTGAGAAGCATTTGAGTAAAGCATAAAGTAAGTGAAGAAGTGAATAGTGTGGCTTCATAGAGGATAAGTGTTCCACAGACTCAATGGCCAATATGAAGGCACTATGGTGGAGTGTGACTGATGTTTGAGGTATTGCAGGGGGCCATAGGCACTGGAAAAGAGTAAGCCAAATAAGCTTGTTAGAGGGGAGAAAATGAGGGATGCAAATTCTATAAAGCTTACAAGGCCATGGTAAAGACCTGATGCTAAGTGATATGGGTACCATGGAGGATTGAACAGAAGAGGGAGGCAGAATAACTGGAGTTTAAGAGGCTCCATCTGGCTGCTGAGCTAAGTGACTGAGGATAAGGAGAATTAACATGGAAGTAGGAAATCCAGTGAGGAGGATACTGCATTAGCCCAGTTGAAATGGGGCATGGTGGTACTTGCCTGTAATCCCAGCTACTCAGGAAACTGAGGCAGGAGGATCACAGGTTTGAGGTAAGCCTGGGCAACTTATCCAGACTCTGTCTCAAAATTTTTTAAAAAAGGGCTAGGGATGTTGCTCTGTGGTAGAGCACTTACCTAGCACATGTGAGGCCCTGGGTTCAATCTCCAGTACCACAGGGAAAAAAGTGTATGTGTGTGTGTGTTGGTTTATTCCAGTTGAGAGATGGGGGATCTAGTAATAATAGCAGGTCATGAGAAATGATTGGATTTGGATATATTTTGAAGGTCGAAGCAGTTTGCCAAAGTGTTGGATGTCAGATGTGAGAAAGGGGTCATGGCTTAAGCAACTAAGAAGCTGGAGTTGCCTAAAACCACCCTAGCCCTGGGTTGTTGAGTTATATAAACTAGTCAATTCTTTTTGTCTAAGCCAGTTTGGATCAGGTCTCATCTAAAAGAATCCTAGTGAATACAAAGGGTCAAGGAACAGCTTCTGAAGAATGAGAATGAGTTAGATGGAGTAAGAATTAAGTAGTAAGAGGGTCTCTTCCACAGAAAGGCCAAGAAGCAGGAAAGAGCCTTTTGAGGAGGAGCCAGGAGGTCAGTGTTAAAAATAAAGTGAATGATGAAGGGAGGTAGATTAAAATAAGGTCCAAGAGGTAAGAACAGACTAGATCACACTGGATCATGATAGCATAAGGAATGCAGGTTTTATTGTGCTGAGCTACCTGTCAATATAGAAGTTGGTTTGAAAGATAAATGAAACTATATTCTGTGCAAAAAACAGAAAGCAGCAAGATAGGGTGTTAAGTTGGAAAAAATAGTATGAATCCAACTATATACCTGTATCTCCCAAATTTATATTGCCAGCCCAGACTTCTCTCCTGAACTTGACCTGGGAGTTTTTAACTACTTCAAAAAACTCCAGTGTTTAATAAACACCACATACATCCCAACTCCTATACAGAACTCCTGACCTAGCCCTCCCAATCTGCTCTTCCTGTCTTCTCCATCTCAGGTAATGGCAACTCCATCCTTCCAGTTGCTCAGCAAAAATGTAGATTCTCCTCCCCTTCCCCTTTTTGGTGATGGGTTTAACCTAGGGCTTCTGCATACTAGGCAAGCACTCTACCACTGAGCTACATCCCCAACCCCAAGATTCCTCTTTTTGCTGGGCACAGAGGCACACACTTGCAATTGCAGTCACTCAGGAGGCTGAAGCAGGAAGATCACAAGTTCAAAGTCAGCCTCACAATAGCAAGGAGCTAAGAAACTCAGTGAGGCCCTGTTTTTTTTTTGTGTGTGTGTGTGCTAGGAATTGAACCCAGGGCCTTGGTCATGCAAGGCAAGCACTCTACCAACTGAGTTATATCCCCAGCCCAAGGCCCTGTCTTTAAATAAAATACAAAATAGGGGCTGGGGATGTGGTTCAAGCAGTAGCGCACTTGCCTGCCATGTGCGGGGCACTGGGTTCGATCCTCAACACCACATAAAAATAAAATAAAGATGTTGTGTCCACTGAAAACTAAAAAATAAATGTTAAAAAAATTCTCTCTTTTTTAAAAAAAATTACAAAATAGGGCTGGGGATGTGGCTCAGTGGTTGAGCTCCCCTGAGTTCAATCCCCAGTACCCCCCACCAAAGGATTCTTTTCTCACAACCCAGATCCCAGAAATCATTTTATTTAAAATCACAGTTGCTCTTTCACAAGCAATGTTTTCAATCTCTATACATGCTCTTTCTCTAACACCGCAACATCTACCATGCAATGTTATTTACTTATTTACTGTTTCCCTTCCCTAGAACACTGGCTATGCAAAGGCAATGATTTCGATATGTTGTGTTCCCTGCTATATTCCTGAGAATCAGAACAGCATATGGCATAGAGTAGGCAACTAATGGATGTTGAAGGAATTAAGTGAAAGACTACTTGACTCAAAGGACCTAAAGTCCTCAAAAGATGGTTGCTTTTAGGTTTAGGTTAGAGAGCAAGAATATTTTCAAGAATATTTAGGGAGGTCTGGGGTTGTGGCTCAATGGTAGACTGCTTGCCTGGCATGTGTGAGCACCACATAAAAATAAGCAAATAAAATAAAGATATTGTATCCATCTACAAAAAAATGAATATCTGAGGTAGTACTCAAAGAACAGAGGAATGAACTTAATCTGCTCCTTGGGACAATTTGAACTTCAAAAGAGGACAAAATCGTGGGGCTGGGGTTGTGGCTCAAGTGGTAGAGTGCTTGCCTAGCACATGTGAGACACTCAGGTTTGATCCTATTTTATTTTATAAAATAAAATATATTGTATCTACCTAAAACTAAAAAATAAATATTTTTTTTAAAAAGAGGACAAAATCAGATAATGATACAAGCTTGTCTATGAAAAGCTATGAGTTAGTTCACTCAAGAAGAAAGGAGATGGCTAGGTGGCTCTGTGGTAGAGCATGTGTTCAGCATGTGTAAGACCCTGAGTTTGGTCCCCAACACCAAAAAAAAAGGGTAGTGGGTTCAGGGTGGGGGAAGAAAAATATAAAGCTCATCAAATGCTAGTTGTACACAAAAGGAACATTTGCTCTGCTACTACTGATTCAGGAAGAACTGGCAGTTTGAAATGTGCCCCAAGTAGCCCAAGTATTTTAAAGAGGAGGGCTACCCAGACTTAAATCCCCATTTTCTAAAAAGATTAAATCTTTAGAAAGGTCTACTAATCATAATAAAGTAATATGAAAGTCAATCACACTTGTTTTACTTTTCTTTCTCTTGATGTTTTTTTTTTTTCCTAGTACTAGGGATTGAATCTAGGGGTGCTCTACCACTGAGCTACATCCCCAGTCCTTTTTATTTTGAGACAGTTGTTCAGGTTGGCCTCGAACTTGTACTCCACCTGATCAGTGGAATTACAGGCATGCACCACTGTGCTCAGCCTTTCAACCACATTTTTTCATCACACTAATAAACCAGGACAATATATCAAGACCAGCCAAGGCCTTGGGATGTAGCTCAGTGGCAGAATATTTGCCTAGTAATGAATGAGGCCTAGGGTTCAATCTCCAGTAGAGAAAACAAAACAAAACAAAACACAATACCAGGCAAGGGGGCAGACACTGACAATTTAAATAACTCATTCTGGGGACAGACATAGATTCTCAAAAAATTAAAATCTGGGCTGGTGATATAGCTCAGTTGGTAGAGTGCTCACCTCACATGCACAAGGCCCTGGGTTCAATCCCCAGCACCACCAAAAAATAAATAAATAAATAAATAAATAAAATCTATTTAAAAGGCTCAAGAATCCTCACATAGAAGGAAAGCTTTGTTATAAAAACTGGACTTCATCTAAAAGATCAACTGTTTAGAATTGCATTGACCATGAAAGCAAGCCCCCTGGTCAGGCTATTTGCTAATTGATCTGATAACCAAGATTTAGAAATCTCAGCAGGTCCCAAGTTTACTAACACTGAAACCCTGGAAAAGTTTGAAAAGAGAACAATTACTGAACCCTAATGGAGGCAACACTAGAAGAAATGAATATAGGAATAAACATAACCAAGAAGGGATTTTAAACCAAGTAGTATTACTCTTCTAAGATGTTATTAATCTAAGTATAATAATCAATGCCCCCCACACTCATTTCATCTGAGCCATGCTTACCCCACTTTGCAGTTTCTCTAGCATGCCAGGCACACTGTCTCCTTTGTTAGGAATGTTCTTTCCCCAGCCCCCAGCTTGTTCACTGAACCAAATGACTCAAATGTCACTTCACTTCCTCTGGGGGGGCCTTTTCTACCTACATTTGAAATCTCTCATCCATGCTCCAGTTGCTCTTCCCTGCAGAAAACCTAAATTTACCTGGAGCCCACACATTCCCTACCAGTTCCCATAGAGATCTGCTTCAATCATCACTTCAATTTTCTTCCAGTATACACTTTTAAATTCACTCAACAAACACAATGCCATGCTGTGTACTGTTTTAGTCACCTGGGATATAGACAAAATTTCTCCATTTATAAAGTTTATAATCTAACTGGAGGAGATGATCGACATGACAAAGAAAGAAATTACATAGTTAAAAAAGAGGTGATAGGGCTGGAGTTGTGTCTCAGTGGGGGGGGCGCTTGCCTAGCATGTGTGAGGCACTGGGTTCAATCCTCAGTATCACATAAAAATAAATAAGATAAAGGTATTGTATCCATCTACAACTAAAAAAAAATTTAAAAAAATAAAAAAGATAAATACTAAGGAAAAAGAAAAAGTAGGAGAGGAATAAAGAGTATCAGAAGTTGCCAGTTTAAAAGCAGGTTACAGAAGGCCTGAATGAAAAGAAAGGAAGCTACATAGGAAGAACACTGCTGGAGAGAGAACATCCATTGTATTTGCCCTAGACTGGGATCATTCTTGTGATGTTTAGAAGAAGACTGTGAAGGTCAATGTGGTAAAAGTATAGTAATTGAGCAGGAAAAATAGCTAAAAGTAAAGTGAAAGATAACTTGTTTTACTGTTACTGATTAACAGGCTGAGACTTTATAGATCTGACCATAATTATAAGTATGCACATATGTATGCATAATATTGTAGGCCCTCTATAATGTAAACCTTTAAGGAACTCTTTGCTCTTGTTCCCTGCTGCATCCCCACTGCCAAACATAAAGCCTGCCATACAGAAGATGCCCAATAAATGCCTGTGTGAATGAACAATACAAAGACCATTTACTGAATGTTTATTATGTGCTACATCTGAGGCTGAGCTTTGATTCCCCACTCTCAGCTTCAGCTTTGAGGAGGAAGGAAGTACCATTCCAGGAAGCCATGGAAAAGGAAGAACAGTGTTGAAAATGGTGATTTTTACTATGTATATTTGTATGTGGTGTTGGGGATAGAACCCACGGCCTTATGTGTAGTATGCAAGTGTTCTACCACTGAGTTACACCCCTGGTCAATGGTGGTGCTTTTAGATACTGTCCTCCCGGAATGAACTTACTCTGTGAGGAAAGAGCTCTTACGATCAATGAACTTGAGGGCTTCTGCGAGTGTTAACTCCAAGAAAAAACCATAACCCAGAGCCACGTAGATGCGCGAAGTATCTGGGCTGAGGAGAGAGGTCAGAGGAAATGGGGGGAATACTTATTACGATTTAGCATACCACACAGTTTATTTAAGATGTTTCCTATTCCCCCCCTTCCCCAAATTGAGACTCTGGAAGGGCAGGGATCTTGTCCTGTTTTATTCACTGACACATCCCCAACACCTAGCTTATATTCTTATGTAATATAAAACTTAGCACAGTGTCTGGTATGTAGAAGATTTGAAAAAAATATTTGTTGTGTGAAAGAAGGGGTAAGCTGAACCCTGTGGGCTCAGAGGGGCGGGTAGACACTCACACCACTGTGTCAACGAAGAAGTTACAGCCCAAATCCACCTGCATATATAACTCCGAGTGTTTAGCTTCCTGTGGGGCCAGGGAAAAAGAGGTAGGGATCAGTGGTCAAATTTTAGGCCAGGTGACAAGTTTTGGTCTGGGGTCCCTCTTCCCATCTCCTTCCCCCACCACACACAAACTGGTATCCAATCCTGAAGTCTTTACCTGCAGGCGCTCAATGACATTTCTCAGTTGAAGGTATTTGGCCAGCTGCTCATATACCTTGTCTCGATGATCCAGCACCTTTCTGATAAGATGAAAATACAATGGTGACCAACAGGAAGCTCTTTCGCTTTTGGGATATCACATATCATGCCCTAAACAAGCATTTAGCTCAGAAATTAGGATTTTGAACACTGGGTGAGACTGCCTGCATTTGAATCTAGGCTCTATCCTTTACTAGCTGTATAACTTTGATAAATAAGAAACCCATTTGGGACTCAGTTTGTCCATTTATAAAATAGAGATGACAGTATTACCTCGTAAGAATTGTTAGGATCGAATGACTGTTTATTACAATGTGTTTAGAATAACACTTGCCAAATAGCAAGTACTATATACTTGTTAGCTATTATTTATTACTAGTATTACTACACTCTACTGTCAATGTTTCCTGCCAATCAAAATGGCCCATTATCCCAGAAAAAAATCTTCACTCCCTTTTAGGATGATCATACAATCCTAGTTCTGAACATTACTTCCTGTTCAGATTAATGACAGCAATAACAGCTCTTCATACTCATTGAGTCTCTGTGTTTCAGGCATCCACACTAATTCCTTTTTAAAAATGCCTATTTGTTTTATTTTTGTACTCTCAACATTTTTCTTTTTTGAGATGAGGTCTCACTCTGTTGTCCAGGGTGGTCTCAAACTCCTGGACTCAAGGGTTCTCTTGCCTTAGCCTCGCCAGTAGCTGGGACAATAATGACACGCCAGTGAACTACTGGAAACTCAAAACCACCCTGTGAGAAGATTCCATAAACTTCCTTATTTCACAGATGTGGAAAGTTTATAAGGCACAGAGATGAGGTGAAGTAGAAGTGTTCACAACGATGGCAAAACACGCAAGCTAGGACGAGAACCCAAGAACTCTAATTCCGGAAACTTAGCTCTAGTTCAATAAATAGCATCAGAGCCCGCGCATGCGCCGATACAGTCTCAGTTACAAACGCCACGTTCCAGTCAAATCGCACCCCGGATGTCGTCCCCTACTTCCCGCTAGAAAGGTGACAGGGCCGGGCTCCCAACGCCTCACCCACCAATCCGAAGGCTTGGCACTCACTCTGAACGCCCCACCCACCACGTGGAAAGTTCGAAACGTCCCGCCTCCGGGCTGTCACTCACCTCAAGTCCCGCTGCAGCACGTCACTGATGAAGGCCTCATAGCGCAGCACTTTCTCCCCCGTGGCCTCCAACGCCCGCCGTTTAGGGGGCGTCGCCATGATGGGCTCCTGGGAGTGGGAAGACCACGTTGAGCACTTCATTTTTGCCTCACACATAGTTCATCTCCACCCTCTCAATGTTGGGATTGGGCTCGTGCGGTTCACGTTGGGGGGTCCACCTTCTGCCCCTCCCAACTCTGGGACTCCTTTACCCTGGGACACCCAAACGCCGCCCTTACCTTAGGGCCGCCGGCAATAAGAGACGTTGGTAGGAACAGCGGCTTCCGGGTGGCGCGGGTGAATGACGTAGTGGCAAACGTGCTGGCCAACCAAATAGCCAGGTGGGGAGGGGCGTTCCTTATCCGAAGTAGGCCATAGGGAAGAGGAGAGGGGCGGGGTTTTGCGGACTCCGGGGAAATCACGGAAGACTCCAGAGGAGTTTGTGAGCACCGACTTGTGTCTATAAGTAGGCCAATGGGGGACTGCGAAAGCCGCACGTGGAGCCTGTAGGGACGGTGCGTGGCAGGTGGAGGTGGAGTTTAATGGGATTTGGCGGGTTCTGGGGGAGGCAAAACTCACAGGCTTAGGTAGGGGGAGGGAGTGAAGTGCTTATAATTTTAAAAGCAAGTTCTCAGAAACAATCGGGCAAGAATTATTTATGGTTCTAGTCTGTGAGGAAACGCGTATATGCCGTGTGATCTGTTGTTCTGGATTTTGGTGTTTTTTACACGGCAGGTTTGGATTTTACTCCAGTAACGGGAATGAATATGAACATTTAAAAGGTTTTAAACGGAGACAAATTTTCTGAAATTCGTCTTCAATGACTCTAGCCCTGTGGCTCTCAATTGATAACTGAGGCTCAACTGGAGACTGACAAAACGCCGTGTCTAATCACCTCAATAAGGGAATAAGGGAAGTGCTCACTGAAGTCCTCCACTGAGAATCGGCAAGTTCTACTTAGGATTGGTTCCTATGTTTTTATTTAAATGTGTCAGTTTTTTTCTGAATGCATTTTTAATACTTGAGTGCATACGTTTGTTTTTCTTCTTAGGAAACGATAGGACCTAATCCAGCAAGTCAAGGCCTGAATCTGGAAGAGAACCCAGAGGCTAGAATCCTCCAAATGTTATTCGCGCATGGTAGGCCCTAGAGCACTCACCCCTGACAAGTAAATTTTCCTGGATAATTTGTGCATTCAGTGTGTAAAAGCAAGGTTTTATTGGACTTTTTGTTTTTCAAGTATTCAAAACTTAAGCAAGGGTTAGGGCTGTAGCTCAGTGACAGAACATGTGGCTAGTTTGTGTGAGGCACTGGGTTCGAATCTTAGCATCCCATACAAATAAACAAAATAAAGGCATTCTGCCCATCTACAACTACCAAAAAAAAAAAAACTTAAGCAAATCGAGGTTTTCTTTGTTCTTAAGATGATTGTAAAGGAAACATTGAGACTTAGTTCTTTTTTTTGTAAATCTCATGTTACATGTGGCTAAAATTACATTTAGGTTGGAAAGGACACTTGATGTAAGAAAAGAAGCAAATGAAGGAAACAGAAGAGGCTCAACAGCAAAACAGGTTTATTTGGGACAAACCTGTTCAGGAGGCCTATTGGAGACAGAGACCCATCTGCCATTGCTAGGGGGCTGTCAGGGAGGTCCTCACCTCCATTTTTTTGAGGTAGTCTTTTTTGAGGTAGTCACTGTTCCACCTTGAACCAAGTGTTTTCCTTTCTTGGTATGATGATGGGATATTGTTTGGGGTTTCTTTGCATGATAATAGACTATTGTCTGTGGTTTAAGGTCCGGACTGAGAGTAACCTTGAGGTGATTCTTGTTGGAAGATGGAGGCTGTTTCAAAATGGTGTTGCCAGTGTCAAGTTCTTCTTAACACTTGGTAATTAGACAAATATTATCTAATTAATCTATTTCACTTTCCTTTGAGAAGAGAGGAAACATTTATTATCTTTATTTGGCAAGGAGAACTGTAGACAGTTCAAATGGGTGGGAGATAGGTCTTTGCTAGTCTACTAACATATTTCACAATTTTTTAACTTAAAGATATTACTAGCTGGATGCAGTGGTGCACACCTATAATCCCAGCGACTTGGGAGACTGAGGTAATAGGATCATAAATCTCTAGCCTTATGCTCCAAGCCTCAATAAGGGTGTTTATACTTCCATGGGGAGTTCAAAGCCAGCTTAAGCAATTTAGCAAGGCCCTAAGCAACTTAGTGAGATCCTGTCTCTAAATAAAATATAAAAAAGGCTGGGGATGTAGGTCAGTGGTAAAGCACCCCTGGGTTCAATCCCAAGTTCCAATAATAATAATAATAATAATACCAACTTTATTTTACACTTAAACCTACAGAACAGTTTACAGTGAACTCCCATAGAGCCTTCTCTAAAATTCAATAATGTTAATATTTAACTACATTTGCTTTCTTTCCAGAATGTTGTGGGAACTGGACCAGTCAAGAAGCAGCAAATGATACTCAAGAGAGTGGAAGAATTCAAACTTAGTTTATTTTTTTGGTACTGAAGAATGAATCCAGGGGCACTTAACTACTGAGCCACATCCTCAGCCCTTTTTTGTATTATTTTAGAGAGACGGTCTCACTGAGTTCCTTAGTGCCTTGCTTTTGCTGAGGCTGGCTTTGAACTCTTGATCCTCCTACCTTGGCCTCCCAAGCTGCTGGGATTACAGGTGTGCACCACCACTCCCAGCTATTAGTGCAGAAAGACCAGGATGGATGGAAACTTCACAAATCAGCTCAGTTCTTTTATTCAGAAATGGAATCATGGTTCTGATGGTGGTGAGTATGGTTCTTATGGACCCACTCTCTTTGTGGAAAATGAGCCACTGAACAAAGAAAGGGACTGGGCATATGTAGGTTATCCTGAGAAGTGAATTAAAGAGTGTGTCAGCTTGGGCAGTCAGTTTTTGGGGGTCTGTTTTACTAGGCTAAATGGGAAGGAGTGTGGCCTCAGTAGTCAGTCTCTGGGATTTATCTTGCTGGGCCAGATGGAGGGCTTGGGGTCAGTAGTTGGTATCTGGAAAGGGTTTGTTTAGGGAAGGATTTAATGCTTTAGCCCTTTCCCAGAGACTGCCTTTTTAGGTTTGATGGACTCCTCCTTGATAGACCCAACCTGATCTTTTATTAAAATTGGGAGCCATCTTGCCACAAAGCCATGAAAAGATAATTTCGGCTTTACTATAAATTACTGCAAATTCTGAACCTGCTTGGAATGCCTGCCCGTGCCTTGAACTCACCCATGCCTGGCTCTCTGACCAGATAGCAGCTTTCTCTGAAACTTTAGTGACACCTCATAAATATTGGCCTTCCCTGGCCAGACAACGACCCTCTCTGAGGCTCTAATGGTCCTCATAAATTCTGATGTTGGGGCCAGCACAAAAAAAAATATGTAAACTACCATTAGTGTGATGCTTGTCAGAGTTCTGTTATCTGTAACCCCCCTTTTGTGTAACTTTCTGGGCTATAAAGCTGGGCTGTAGGAAAGGTGGGGGGCTGTCTTGTTTTGGGAGGGAGAGGCAGCCCGGCCGGTCGAAATAATAAGCTTGCTTTAATTTGATTTTAATTGGAGTCAGTGGTCTTTTCTTGCATCCTGGTCTAACACTCCTCCCCAGGGTTTGTTTTATCATTGGGAAAGAATGTACTGGAAAAGGATCAATGCTCCTAATTTATGACTTTCTCACTCCTTTTTTTCTTACATATAATTAGTTTGGGGTTTGTTGTTTTCCATATCTAATACAGGCCAAATTTTGGGGTTTTTTTTATGCTGGTGGGCCCAGACAAGATCAAACTCCAAATTCTGAGCCCCCATCCCCAGTTTTTCACAACATTTATAGGCTTTCTGTGCCATATAATTTCTAGTCCACATGATAGAAGGCTGTGAGTTTCTAGTAGGATGCATGTTTGTAGAAGCACAGTGCAATAAGGAGAAAAACTGATTCTTCTCACAGGCCTCTGATAAAATCTCTAGCCTTATGCTCCAAGCCTCAATAAGGGTGTTTATACTTCCATGGGGAGTTGTTAAATTCCTATAGGTAGTTATTTACAACCCAAAAGGTAAGGGCCTATGTTTACTTAGGTTTCCTGAAGGAGGGCTGAAAGAAAGGGTAGGGGAACTCACCCTTTCCCCAGGCACTAGTTTTTCATGATAGTTTTTTAAGTTGTCAATGGACTTTTTATTTTACTTATTTATTTGCAGTACTGAGAATTGAACCCAGTCCCTCACACGTGCTAGGCAAGCCTCTACCAAATCCCAGCCGATGATAGTATTCTTATAATTTCATTTCATAACCAGATCTGGTTTTGCCATCCATCACAAGACAACATAATAATTGTTGACACAGATGCATAGTATTTTATCCTTCAGATGGCCTCAGATGTTTGAGTCACTTCCCTTTATTGGAAATTTAAATGTGTCCAACTTTAAAAATTTTTTATTATCTAGGATCAGATAACAGTCTTTGTTTTCAGATTTTTGTGTGCAAGTATGATTGTTTCATGGTGATAAATTTCTAGAAGTAGAATTTATGGATCTAAGGAAGGTCATTGCATTGTAAATCTAGTATTAAATGACCATTGTATGCACACTGCCTTAAAACTTCCTTATCTAAGATGTACATCAGGGGTCAGCAAGCCTGAAAATTATATGAAATTCAAATTTCAGTGTCTAACAATAAAGATTTATTGGGTCACAGCCATACCCATTTATTTGCATACTCTCTGTGACTGTTTTCATGCTACAGTGGCAAAGATGAATAGTTGTCAAAGAGCAAATGTTCTGGAAATTCTAAAATATTTACTACCTGGCCTTTTACAGAAAATCTCTTGGTTTCCTGGCATCCCAAGAGGCAAGGTGTTCTGCCAATCCCACTTCTTTAGGATCAAGTCAGTCAGCACTACAGAGGCTAGGGCTGTAACCAAGTGGGTCTCTCTGGCTTGCACTGGTGACCTGTTAGCTTCCCCTTCTTCTTATGAGAAGACACTTCTAGTTTGATCCTTTAGGGCGATGTGAGAGACACTGCTGCACTATCACCAGCCAGAGACCTGAGATCAACTTTATCTCTCTTGTCTCCATTTGTATTATTTCTCCTCTCCATACAGTCTCATAGTCCCAGACCTCCCTCAGCTCTGACTTAATAGATCTCTGAATTTGTCTTTTCCTCAGAAGAAGAAATGACTAAGAATCAGGTGAGTGTGTATTTTTGATGGCTAGTGATGTGCAATATCTTGTCATATGTGTTAGGTCGGTGGCCTACACCCCTACAGTCGCCTCCCCACCAAACCTACTTCTGAGCCATTCCTCCCATGATGTCCCTAAACAAGCAGGAAGTAGCCAGACTTAGTGGCAACTTAGAACAAAGCAGCGGGCTGGGGATGTGGCTCAAGCGGTAGCACACTGGCCTGGCATGCGTGCGGCCCGGGTTCGATCCTCAGCACCACATACAAACAAAGATGTTGTGTCAGCCGAAAACTAAAAAATAAATATTAAAAATTCTCTCTGTCTCTCTCTCTCTCTCTTTAAAAAAAAAATCCCTGTTTCTTTAAAAAAAAAAAGAACAAAGCAGCCCGTGCTGCTTTGAACATCATCAGATGCCAGTGGAAACACCTGTCAATCAGCCAGATCTCCTGATTAACGCCTGTCAATCAGCAGGACCCCCTGGCCAATCCTGGAGTTCAGCCAACTCCCCTGACCAACTCCAAGGGGGCAAGGGACCCTAGAGACACCTTTTCCTGTCCCAAGCCCTTCCCTTCCTGCTGTAAGCCCCATAAAAGTCCAGTGTGGTCGAGCTTCAACGCAATTTCTCCTCAGACCCTTCTCCTGTCCCCTCTGTGGGTCTGATCGAGTTCCGCCCAGGAGTGATATCTCAATAAAGCCTGTTCAGCAGCCCTTTTAAATCTGCCTCCTTTGGCCGCTGCCTGCCTTGTCTGGTCTGACAATATGCTTTTTTATCATCTCTTTATCCTCTTTGGTGAAATATCTGTCCACATCCTTTTTTAAAAAATTTCTAGTTGTAGATGGACAAAACACCTTTTTATTTGTTTTATGTGGTGCTGATCATTGAACCCAGTGCCTAAATATGCTAGGCAAGTGCTCAACCACTGAGCCACAACCCCAGCTCCCTCTCCACATCCTTTGTTCATTTCTAACTGTATTTTTTTAAAACTGTTGAGTTTTGAGAGTTCCTTTTGACAGTTCTGCTTCCCACATGTTGAAGTTTGAACATTAGAGAATCATGCCAAGGCAAGCATATGAAGCAGGGTTTATTTAAAAATTGGTAACATAGACTTCTCCCCTCCCCAGAGGGAGAAGGGGGCCATAACTGGTATCCTGTATCCCAAGAAGAGAGGTGTTCTACCCTTTTTATATGTCCTAGACTTCCTTTGTTCTCCTGCCTTTTCCCCCTTATCTTTTCTCCTTCCTGCATATGTGACTAGGCCCAGTAAAGGCTTGGTAGGAAGGCCGGAAAGGTGGGAAACAGGTGGGCTGAAGGGGGAAGGGCAGGATGGAGTAGCCAAGGACACATTAACAACTTTATAGCTCCCTGTAGGGAGGGGAAGTTCCTGGGACAGGTTGCCTTGGCAACAGGTTGGAGCTGGGGCAGGTTCTTGATAAGATGCCTCAGGAGACACTCTCCAACTTCCCAGACTCACTCAAAATTGGCCTCCTTGATCTGAACTGACTCAGTTTACCTATCTACACTGACTGCCTAATTCTGGCCTCACTTTCATACTTAAGTTTTTTGTCAGATATGTGGTTTACAAATATTTTCTCCCAGTCTGTAGCTCATCATTTCTTTTTTTGCCCTCTTAATGGGGTCTTTTGTATGTGACTTTCTTTTAATATTTATTTTTTATTTGTAGGTGGACATGATACCTTTATTTTTATGTGGTGCTGAGTATTGAACCCAGTGCCTCAGACATGCTAGGTGAACATTCTACCTTTGAGCCACAACCACAGCCCTGTAAATCACTTTTAATTTTAATTTTGAAGTCCAGTTTGTGTGTATGTGTGTGTGTGTGTGTGTGTATATATATATATATATTTGTTTTTGTTACTGAGTATTGAATCCAAAGATGTTTTACCACTGAGTTACATCCCAAGCCCTTTTTATTTTTTGAGATGAGGTCTTGCTAACTTGACCAGATTGGCCTCAAGCCTGCCTCAGTCTCTAGTAGCTGGGACTATAGGTATATGCCATGATGCCTGGCTTCCTTTAGCCATTCTTGCAAAGTAGGTCTTCTGGTAACAAATTTTTTTAGTGTTCCTTCATTTAAAGAGTGTCTTGATTACCCCCTCATGCCTAAAGTACATTTTTGCTGGTTAAAACAATTTTTGGTTGGCCTTTTAAAATTTTTGTCACTTTTATTTTGCTCCCTCTCTCTGGCCTCTAGATTTTCTTTCTGCTTTTTTAAAAATTTACTTATTTATTTTATTTTATTTTATTCTTAGATGGACAGCATGCCTTTATTTTATTTGTGTATTTTTATGTGGTGGTAAGGATTGAACTCAGTGCCTCACATGTGCCAGACAAGTGGTCTGCCACTGAGTTACAGCTCCTGCCTTTTTTTTTTTTTTTTTTTTGTGTGTGTGTGTGTGTATTAGTAGGGATTTTACCCAGGAGTACTCTACTAGTGAGCTATATCCTAGCCTTTTAAAAAAATTTTTGAGACTCACTAAAGTGCCCTGGCTGCCTTGAACTTCTGATCCTCCTGCCTTATGCTCCTGAATAGCTGGGATTATAGGTGTGTACCACTGCACCTGGCTCTGGCTTCTATGTTTTCTGATGAGAAATTGAAGTGTGTTGATGAAAACTGGGCATGGTGGCACACACCTGTAATACCAGCAAATCGGGAGGCTGAGGCAGGAGGATGGCATATTCAAGGAATTGGCTTACTTCACTTAGGATGATACTCAAACTCTATTCATTTACATGGAAATGCCATAATTGTATTCTCTTTTAATGCTGAGTAATATTCCATTGTATATATGTACCACAGTTTCTTTATTCATTCATCTATTGAAAGGCATCTAGGTGGGATCAACAGTTTACCTATTGTGAATTGTGCTGCTATAAACATTGAAGTGGCTGTGTCCCTGTAGTATGCTGTTTTTAAGTCCTAAGGGTATAGACCAAGGAGTGAGATAACTGGGTCAAATGGTGGTTCCATTCTAAGTTTTCTGAGGAATCTCCATACTGCTTCCCATACTCAGAAAATTGATTCCTGGAT